GAGGAGGAGGAGGAGGAGGAGGAGGAGGAGGAGGGGGAGGGGGAGGGGGAGGGGGAGGGGGAGGAGGAGGGTACCTGCGGGGCGGGGGGGCCGCGGGCCAGGGTGGGTCGAGCTCCACCCCTCGTCGTCCTGGCCCCTCCTCCTCCCCGTCTCCTCCTGCGTCGGCCACGCTCGCAGCTCGGGGGAGAGGAGCCGTGCAGAGCGCCATGGACTGCTGCCCTGGGACGTGGGGTGCCAGGACCTCGCGGCAACTGGGCAGGACGCCCAAGCTGCACGGCGGTGTGGCACACCCGGGCGTGACGCTGCACGACGCGATCTTCAAGTTGCTGGCGGTGCGGTAGGACGGTTCGGTCGCGGCACCCCGCTGGAAGTCCAGGGAGGTCGACGAGCAGACGCCAGTTCATGGGACAGGGGCTGACGCTCGGCGACGAGGTGGGGAGCACAGACCTGCAGAAGACTACTGAGTTCTAGAGCCTCTCTGCAGAGCATGCGGGGTAACCTCGAGTAGCTCCAGCAAAAGCAGGTGCCAGATCGATCAGGTGAAGAAGCTTAAGGCTAGGTCGGGTGTGTCCCCTACAGGCGGATGTTGGACAAAGCATTAAAAATGTGTCAAAACACAAGATCCACAAATACTTATCAATAACCGAAAAATCGTGTCTTGGCTATTTTACACTACTTTACGTTTGAAGATCCCTCCTCCTGTAGAAGGACAGGCCCGACTTAAGCTGAAGGCGCAGCCGGGCAAACACACTGCCGAGCAGGACACGGATGCAGCTGGAGCGCAGCCAAGGCGAGGCCACGGGCGTAACGCTCAAGGTCCAGCACGGGGCGGGACCTAAACGCTGTTGTTTGTTCTGCTGTCGTTGTGTTGTTCGCGCTGCTTTATCTGTTCTCCTTTTTGCCAAAACGAAGAGAAAGAGAGAGAGAGAGAGAAGCAAAAAAAAAAAGTCCAGCAAAACAGCGCTCAGGTCCAGCCGTGGTCCGAATGCAGCTGGAGCGAAGCCAGGGCGAGGCTCGCGGGCGTAAAGCTCAAGGTCCAGCACTTGCCCACGCGCCCTGCCAAGCTGAAGATCGATCTTCCGGCAGGTGTTGAAGGAGTTCGCAAAGTTTCTGTCTGAGGTCGGGCGTGTCCCCATCCAGGCGGATTTTGGGCGAAAAATAAAAAGTTGTCAAACAAAAACTGAAATATTCAGAAATACTCGAAACATCGTCCCCAGAATAATCATTATTTTTTACTATTGTTGAAGACTCCTCCTGTAGAGGGGCACGCCCGATTTAATTTTTGTTATGTGGCAACTCATGGGAGCCTCCCATACCATCTTGCTCTGCTGGCTCTAGCGAGTCGAAGACAACCGACACCAATCGATGCAGATCCGCGCTAACCCATGCTGAAATCGACGCTCACCGACTCAAAATCTTTACTTTCTCGTCGACGAACGCGGACTCACTGAGCTCTCCCAAGCATCCCTGGACGGCACCGGCACGAAACGTGACGTCACCTGTCCCTCCCATCCCCTCCCCCCCGGCAGCGCCCGTGGTCGTCGGGAATATAAAAGAAACCTCCCATCTTCCTGCAGACGATTCCTTGATGAATCAGGTGCAGCAGACGATTCCTTGGTGAATCGGGTGTGCAACGCTGATGGCACACCCAAGGACTGGGCCTTCCCGCCGGCGCCAGGGGAGATCCCTGCAGCAATGGGCGAAGTCCGTGTACGATCTTGATCATGTGAGCAGCTGAAGCTCTTTGTGGTTACCCTCCTGCCCCCCCTCTCTTCCCCCCTCTGGCGGAGGAGTGCGCGAGGCCGAGGAAGGCAAAGAATTAGGCCGACCCGACCTTAATTCAATACCTGGCAAGCTCCCCACGTCCTCCCGAGAGAACAGCAAGGGCGGGGCGCGCCTGGCGATGCCGCAGGCGGGCCGCAGAGGCACGAGCGAGGCAGCTCGCACCACACGAGAGCTACCCAAGAAGCAGGCTCAGGCGATGATCCCGCCTCTTGAGCTGCTTCAAACGAGCACGCATTCTGCCCTGAAGCCGCAGAGACCCCCTCGGAGGCGACAGGTTGGGTGCGCACCGCAAATCATGATAGGCCTGAAAGATGAGATCAAGGAAAATCGCACAGGCTGAAAGTTCTAGCTGAGAAGAGGCGGCCCAGGGGAAGATGGAAGCACGCTGCGGCCCAGAGAGCGAGGAACAGAAAGCGGGAAGATGCAAGACGGCACTGGCACTAGACATAACAACAGGGCACTCAAGATAGTGAAGAAACTTGTCGGCCCCAGGCGCCGAACAGAAAACGCAGCCACAGGTGGGCCCACGGAACCTGGCAGAACAGCACCAGCCGTTCGAGAACGTTTTCAAAACAGAAACGATAACGCAAGAGGGAACAAGCCTTTCTAATCTTCTGAGCGCCATCAGAGCTAGGTCAAGATCACAACCTCGCGGATACCCCCAGCTTCTTCATCCGATACAGGAGCGGGACCCGATATCCTTCGGGGGCAAGAT